TTTAAGTTACCTAAAGCTGAAGATGTTGGATATTATTTTCAGGATGACATTATCCAAAATATAAATACTGTTGAATAATGAATCAATTTACTGAACACAAGTTTGTTTTTATACTTTTAAGTCTTTAAAAAAATTTTTTTTTAATTTTTGAGAGAGTGTAAGAATGTGGGTACAGAGAGAAAGGGAGACAGAATTTGAAGTAGGCTTCATGCTTAGATCTGTCAGCACAGAACCTGACGTGGGGCTAGAACCCACAAACCATGAGATCATAACCTGAGTCAAAGCTGGACCTTAATCGACTGAGCCCCTATGTTGTAATGCTCTTAAACATTATGGAGAATATTAGCTTATTTGAGTGGCTAACCTACATAGGCTAAGGAAAACCCAACTAAAATAAGGTGTTTGTATTATGCTTAAAACTGATAAATCAGAGAAAAGATGTGTGTTTTTTTAAACTGAAGTTATTAGTCTTGAGTTTATCAAAGATTTCACTTATGTGTACTTGTAATCTTAAATGTTTCAGATTTAAGGAAGATTTTTTTTTCAAAAACAGTTCAGTTTTAGAAATTCAGTTTTGTTATTCTCTGGGAATTTTAGGAATGTTTGCTTCTATAAATTATTTTTGTTTTATTTAACTCAGTAAACCAAATCAGAATTAATTTGATAGACCTATAAGACACTTTTTAAAAGATGCTTTAATAGACTTTTATAATTTTTTTTCTAGTTTTGCTTCTCCCCTCTTCCTATTTTCTCCTGCAACAGTAATTAGATAATATTAGATCTTCTTGTTCTGTCCTCCATATTTTGTAACCTCATTTTCATATTTTCTACTTGTTCTGGGTTGTATTCTAGATAGTCTGGGTAGTTATTCAGATTTACCATCACTTTTGCAGAAACTGGTACTGGTACAGTGTATATGTATAGTTCTCTGCCATTTTGCTACCTGGGTGTATTTGTGTAATTACCACCAACATCAAGATCCAGAGCTACTACCTCACCACAAAGATATCCCTTGTGCTGTTTTTATAGCATACCCACCACTCCTACCCTCACTGCCTATCCCTATGTCCTCACAACCACTAATCTGTTTTCCATCTTTATAATATTATAATTTCGAAAATACTATGTAAATGGAATAATGTGTATGTGACCTTTGAAATCGTTTTTTCCTTTCGCTGTAATGCCCTTAAGATCATCAAGTTGCTGTGTCAGTGGTTGATTTCTTTGTATTGCTGAGGAGTATTCCATGGTATGGATATACTTGTATTTTTGGTTCTTAGCCCTTCTGTCAATTTTATTCCTTTTAATTGTTAAATTTATACCATTTAGGTTCATTGCAATTATTAGAGGTTAGGGCTTAATCATTTCATTTTTTTTAATGTTTGTGCCATAGAACATTTATTTTTATGTGTGCCAGTAAACATGAAGAAGTTAGGTTTGATTTTACAAGACTCTGAAAAGGACTAAGTTCAGATTCGTCCATGACATTTGCCTATTCTTCTTTTTTTTTTCTTTTTTATTTCTTATTTTTAGTTATTTTTAAATTTTTGTCCAAGTTACTTAGCATATAGAGCAATAATTTCAGAAGTAGAATCCAGTGATTCATCCCCTACATATAACACCCAATGCTCATCCCAGCAAGTGTCTTCCTTAATGTCCCTTACCCAGTTAGCCCATCCCCCAGCCCACAACCCTTCCAGTAGCTCTGTTTGTTCTCCATATTTAAGAGTCTATTATTTAACCATTTCTGTCTTCTTTTTGTTCCTTCTGTTTCTCATTTCTCTGTTGTTGTCTTCCTTGAATGTTTTTTAGAATTCAGTTTTGATTTTCCTAGTTTTTTGAGTTTTTAAGTATATCTTAGCATACCTTTGTTAGTGGTTGCTCTCAAGGCATTACACTGCACATAAATAATTACAGTGTGTCAGTACTGTTGTCTGTATTGTGTCAGTTTGAGTGAAGTGTAGATACCTTATCTCCCTTTGTGTTCCTTTATCCTCCCTTATTTATTTATTTATTTACTTTTTTCTTTCCATAATAGTACGTGTATTCTTTAATCCCAGTCATCTATTTCACCCATTCATTCCCCACCTACTTCCCCTCTGGTAACCATCATTCTGTTCTCTGTAGTTAAGAGTCCTCCTTGATTTTTTTTTTCTCTTTTTTTTTCCCCCTTAGCTTGTTTGTTTTGTTTCTTAAATTCCACATATGAGTGAGATCACATAGTATTAGTCTTTCTCTGTCTTATTTGGCTTAGCATTATACTAATCATTAGCTCCTTCCACGTCATTGCAAATGGCAAGATTTCTTTTTTATGGATGAATAGTATTCCATGGTATGTATATACCACATCTTCTTTATCCATTAATCAATGGACACTTGAGCTGCTTCCATAGTTTGGATATTGTAAATAATGCTGCAGTAAGCATAGGGGTACATGTATCCTTTTGAATTAGCATTTCTGTAATTTGTGGGTAAATACCCAGTAGTACAATTAATGGATCGTAGGGTAGTCCTATTTTTAATTTTTTGAGCAACCTCCATACTCCATACTGTTTTTCACAGTGGCTGCACGAGTTTGCATTCCCACCAATGGTGGAAGAAGGTTCCTTTTTCTCCACATCTTTACCAATACCTGTTGTTTCTTTTGGTTTTGATTTTAGCCATTCCTACAGGTGTGAGGCTTTTTAAAGAGGCTTTAAGAGCTGTTGTAATTTAATTTTTTAATATCTCCACAAGGTATTAACATAATTATTACATATAATAAAAAAATCCTTTCTGAATTACACATAAAGTGCTTTAGTTCTGCTTTAAGCCACAGTTCTACCGCTTAACTTTCTGGGGTTAAGAATGACTCCAGAAATACAGAGAATTGCAATCTAGCTACTATTCTATTAGGAGAGTAGTAGAATCTATTAGAATTATTTTTAGATTCTTAGTTGATTTTTACTTAGCTCACAATGGACTAACAAAATGGATACTCCATCACTTCTCAGTCAACAGAATAGAGATTTATAATTCATCTGTTTATAGAGATCACTGAATGGTCTGATCATAAAGCTAAATTTGCAATTATTGCTATCACCAGTGGTAGTATGACCTATTGTCTGAACTAGAACAAATACAAAATCATTAGAGAGGAAGAATTCTAGAGAAAGTCAGAGTTAAATTCTTATTGCCACTGGGATTCATACTGAAAACCAAGAAAAGAGATCAGGGCTTAAGTTGCTCAAGAGTGTTAAGTACTTGATACTATCAGTTGTATCAGTTTTGGCTTTGGGCATCTTACTGGATGACTTCCAAAACTGTGGAAAAATAATTGATAAAAAATCACTATTCTAATAATATGAAAATGACTATATCTTAAAGATTTAACTGATTTATTCCTGTAGGAATCACTTGCCCTTTGATTTTTCTGCTTGCTTGTTCACAGGTCTGAGAGTTAATGAAACACTACCTCTGAGCCTTTTTTTTCTTATAGATCTCCTATTTCAGTTAATGTTAGTTCTGTTTTTCCAGTTACTCAGACACAGTCTTGGGGGGAGTCCTTCATTTCTTTCTTTAACTGCATATATCATTTCTGTTAGCAAAATCGTTTTGGCTCTAACAGCAGAATTTATTCAGAATCCATTAAGTCCTTAGTTAAAACAAAGACCAGATCTTGTCACTTCTTTGTTCAAAACGTAGTGGCTTCCCTTCTCAAAATGAAGAAGTTTTTTTTCAATGGTCTTCACGACTCTGTGTGACACAGCTGCCATTACTTCTCTGTCTTCATGTTCTGTCTCTTGCTCACCCTACTCCAGCCAGACTCCTCATTGCTGTTCCTCACACGTGCCAAGCACGTTTCTCCGTCATGGCCTTGTTACTTGCTGTTCCCTCTACCCAAAATGTAGGGGTCACATGAGGGCCCCTGTGTGTGTGTGTGTGTGTGTGTGTGTGAGCACGTAACTCCCATGTCTCTTAGCCTTTCCTTTATATTTGTCCTTCCCTGTGCCTTGATGTTCTTCCCCAAGTATCTCAGTAGTTCATTATTTTATTCTTAGTTCTACTTAGATGTCATCTAATTAGAAAGGGTACATCTAAAGTAGCCCTCTTGGGACTCTATTTATCCTTGTGGGTTTTTTTTTTTTTCCATTTTAGGGCTTATTGCATAATATTTATTATTTGCATCTCCACAATGAGAGCAAGGGCTTTGTTTTCTTTGCAGTATTTCCAACACCTGGAATAGTGACTGGCATCTCTTAGGCACTAAATATTTGTTGAATAAATGAAGCCAACTAATAGGGAAATGAGGGAGAGGAATTATGAACAGTAATACAGTCTTCTTTCCATTAAGGCTATAAATTACCTTCTTTCCTCTCCAACATAGGGAGATTCCTTGTGTGAAAAAATCTCTGGCTCATGCTTGAAGTTCTACCAATTAAATTCTTTAAGCTAACTGGTAAATATTTTTGACTCATAAAATCCTAGGATAAAGTCACTTAGTTTTTTTGATAAATAATACCTTGGAAATAAAAGGGTTTGAATTAACAGATAATGTTGAAACACAGAATGTTGCAGAATTTGTCAGCCTTGGGTTGGATGCCTTATAAATATTTTGGGCAATCAAGGCAGAATGCAAGATTGGATTATCTCGGGAGGTAAGGAGCAAAGGCATTAATTTAATGAGTGGGAAATGAAGGTCCTGAGATGAATTTGGAACTGCTAAGAGTTGGCAGGTAGATACCATTTATCTTGCCCCTAGTCAGGTTTTTGGTGTTGGCCTGGGAGGGCAAAGGTCAAGCTCATTTTTTTAGTCCCTAAAGTAGGAAACAGTTCTGATACTTTATCTTTGACATTCATTCATTCAGGAAATATTTGGGCTGCTGTTACCTACCAGGCCTGGTCTTGGTCTTGGGAATACAGTGATGGATGAGACTATTTCCTACTAATACCTCCTGGCTTTTTTTTCCTTTTCCTAATTTTATAGTTTCTGTGTTTATCACTGTTTCATTGTCTTGTAGGTGATGAAAGAACTATGGTTTTTGTTGAGACTAAGAAAAAAGCAGATTTTATTGCTACTTTCCTTTGTCAAGAAAAAATATCAACAACAAGTATTCATGGGTGAGTAGATTAATACGATTTCATAGTAGGGAGGTGACACTTGTATTTGTCATTTGCTAAGAAATAGCAGTGCATGTAACTGACATGACATAATCCTAAGATTCAGAATTCTCAAGATCTAAACTGTTAGTCATTTTAAGTTTTTATAAGAACTAAGAGGTGGGGATGGGTGAGTTAAAGGTTTGTCTTGGACTCCTCATCATGAGGAGTGGTAACTTCTCAAGAGATCTCAATAAGTTTTTCTCTTCTGCTGAATCCAATCTTTCTCTTGGTTGAAATTTTTTATCGAAGTGCATAAAAATGTCATATGAGCACAACTTCATTGACACTTTACTCATGGATCTGAAATACTAATGAATATACAGAATTCTGAGATTATACTTAAACAATTTTTTTGAGAAAACATTCTAATCAAATAGTTGTGTATTGTCAAGACAAGTACAAGATTAATGGGTGAGATTTAATGTTTGTCACACTTGTTAAAATTTTTTTTTAAAGTTTATTTTTTGAGAGAGAGAGAGAGCGCACAAGTGGGGGAGGGACAGAGAGGGAGGAGGACAGAGGATCCAAAGCAGGCTCCACATTGACAGCAGAGAGTCCAATGTGGAGCTCAGACTCAAGAAATGTGAGATCATGACCTGAGCTGAAGTCAGATGCTTAACTGACTGAGCCGCTCAGATACCCTGATGTTTGTTTGTCCGACCTAAATTTGTGTTGTAACACTCTGTACTACCTTTGTTACCTTACTTCATGTGCAAATGAGGATAATTGTTCCACCCTCAAAGTATTACTGTGAGAATTAAATAAAATGATGGCTTGAAAAAAATTAGTATAATACCTGGTATGTAAGAAGTAGATAGCAATGTTGATTGCTGCTATTTTTACTGTTACTGAAAACATGTTGAACTTGAATGGTTCACTGTAGTAATTTTTTTAATGTTTATTAATTTTAGAGAGAGAGAGCACATGTGAGCAGGAAAGGGCCAGGGAGAGAGGAGGGTAGAGAGAATCCCAAGCAGGCTCTGTACTGTCAGTGCAGAGCCTGATGTGGGGCTCAAAATCATGAACCGTGAGATTATGACCTGAGCAGAAATCCAGAGTCAAACACTTAACCGACTCAGACACCTAGACACCCCACTGTAATAATTTTTTAAGAGCTGTCCTGACACATGCTTTCTTTGATTTCTAGTGACCGAGAACAGAGAGAGAGAGAGCAAGCTCTGGGAGATTTTCGCTGTGGAAAGTGCCCAGTTCTTGTTGCTACTTCAGTAGCTGCCAGGGGGCTGGATATTGAAAATGTTCAACATGTTATCAATTTTGATCTTCCTTCTACCATTGATGAATATGTTCATCGAATTGGACGTACTGGTCGTTGTGGAAATACTGGCAGAGCTATTTCCTTTTTTGATCCTGAATCAGATAACCATTTGGCACAGCCTTTAGTGAAAGTACTGTCAGATGTAAGTTTTAAATGTTTAAAACTGAATGGATATTATTCTATCATTGAAAGTAGACCTTGTATATCTATGTATATTGAGGAAAAGTAAACTGCTGTAATCTTTGAGACTAGATGCATATTGAATATGAAGTTAATAATTTCTTTTTTTAGGCTCAACAGGATGTTCCTGCATGGTTGGAAGAAATTGCCTTTAGTACATATGTTCCTGGCTTCAGTGGTAGTGCCAGAGGAAATGTATTTGCATCAGTTGATACTAGAAAGGTTAGTTGAGGGAAAAATTTAGAACTTGGCTTCCAGTTACTCTTTGTGAATGTTGTAGTTAATATTGTGAAGTAACAATAACATTTAATAATTATCTTGTCATTTTTTATACTGAAAAGTTTAATATTTCTTAAAGTTTTATGTATGTATGTATTTTTGGTCTTAAAAGTGAGGAATAATATAACCTTTCAATTCACGCTCAAACATCCCTCCTTTCTCAAATTTGCTGGCATTTACAGTTCTCCTTTGCATTCTTCTGAATTTCCTGTAAGAATTCCTTATTTTTAGAGTTCTGACAGTATTATTAAGTAAGACAGAATACTAGAGATAGTGAGTTGCATGTCCTTTTTGATGTGTCTGTTTATAGGCAGCACCACTTTTATACAGCAACAGTGAATGCACTAACCATTAAATATTTATGCTTATCTATTAAGGTATAGAGCTTTCAGTTTTTCCATCTGCCAAAACTACTGATTAAAGAAAGATTTTCTTGAAATATTTTGTGTAATTTAGACTACCCAGGCTCATATGGGCCTTTATCAAATGGATTAAATTTAGTGAGAATCCAGTCTTTTATATTTTTGGGGAAAACATGGTGGGAAGCTTGAGTACCTTCTCTGAGTCTGGGAATGTAATTTGAGAGAGATCATAAAATTAAATCTTTCTTTCTTTCTTTCTTTGTTTCTTTTTAAAGAATTACCAGGGCAAGAATACTTTGAACACAGCAGGGTTTTCTTCTTCACAAGCTCCCAATCCAGTAGACGATGAGTCATGGGATTAAAGCTAAAACATCCTTCAAGTTTGTGGTACAGTTTTGATGCAGAGAAGAAAATAGTTTTGATTTTTGAGTTTAACAGAAGTGGAAAACCTGACACTCTAGTATCTCTGTCCTTCTGTTCTTATTCCTACCCTTAAAAAAAAATTCTTGCTGATTAGTTATGTGAAATACTAAAAATTAACAACATTGCAGTTACTGATATAAATGGTGTTAACTGGAAAGATTAAAGCGTTCTGAATGTCTTGCTTATTTCTAGTGTATTCTTCAGGGGTTTTAAACATGTTTCATGTCTAAATACATAGTCTTAGTGTGGTGTTTATTGATCCTAAAACAAGCAGTAGGATTTATGACAAACTTTTGTTTAGAACCTGAGTCTCCCTTTTTTGCTTAAAAAGGAGCCTTTAAAGCAATAGTGTGTCACTGAAATATGGTAACATGATTTTCATGTAACAGACAGTGAAAGACATAAGCCTTTTAAGGTGATTTTGACTTTAGGTCATCACATATGTGATGAAAATTGTTAAATGCAATGTGAACTCTGTACACAATGACGTAACAAATGTTTGTTTTTATTCTATACAGACTTTCCTTGAAAATAAAGGATGAAACACTTTGCCCCCTTAGTTTTCTAACAGCATTTAAAATTTTTCTTTGTTGCATATCAGAGTTCTCCTGTATTTTGAAATTTTGAGCCTTGTAAAATCAATGAAGTGAACAAGGTATTACATAAATTAAATATTAATGTATGATATACATTCATACACAAATGTAATAGTGAAAATCATTATTTGAAATCAAACTATATCAACAAAAAACAATACTGTTCACTTTTGCCACAATTAATTTTTTGATACTTTAAGAATAATGAGGGAAAGAATCTTTTTTTCATTTACTAATATATATCTTAAATATGTCTAGAATGTAAGTAGTTCTTAATAAATCATTAAGTAAATGAACCAAAACATTAAGACATGGAACAAGTAAGAATTAGGGAGACAAAAAATTAACCATTACAAATGTTTGTTATCATTAACTTAAAATATCCAAAGCAACATGTCCTCAACATATATCTTGTTACATGAATTTGGTTTATAATGAAGGCATCACACATGAAAAGAGAAGGTCTGTTTAACACATGTTTTTAGGATTAGTTAGATACCTACCCCATGCCATATTCAATATCAGTTCCATGTGCATTACTAAAAGTTAGAACTACAAAGAATACAGTTAAGTATGAAAGCTTTGAATTGGGGATGAGAGTTGAGTTAAAACTCAGAAGTCAGAAATCCCAAAGGATTTGTGCACAAAAGGATGAGTTGCTTATTTAACGAGTAAACAACAAAGAAAAATACGACTACAATGATTACAATGATTACAGTGACTACAATGGATTATCAGTGAGTAGTTCATGATAGTGTGGATATGTAGGAATACCATTAGAGGAATGCACAGAGAACAGACAACTCAAGGGAAGTTCAAGTAATGAAAATATGGGAAATATTTAACATGTACTGTGTAATCTCATTTCTGGGAAAGGTTAAATTAAGGAAAGCGTTGGTGTCATTACTCATAGTACCTGTGTGTCTTAATTTTCTCCTCCAGTTTGTTTTGTTTACAAAGGGTGTTTACAGGCCATTTGTCTTTTTTGTTTGTTTCTTTTTTAAATGTTTTATTTATTTCTGAGAGAGAGAGTGTGTGCAAGCAGGGGAGGGGCAGAGAGAGAGAGCGAGACACAGAATCTGAAGCAGGCTCCAGGATCACAGAGCCTGATGCAGGACTGGAACCCACAAACCGTGAGATCATGACCTGGGCTGAATCTGGACACCCAACCGATTGAGCCACCCAGGCGCCCCTTTTTTCTGTTTCTTGAAAGAGCTTTTGGTCATACCTGGCCTGATTGCTTTAAAAATATTTTTGAATTTGCATGATTTGTCAAATTACCATAATAGCATTACTGAATCAGTATAAAAAAGGAAATAAAATTGTACCAGTTACAGTATCATTACAAACCCACTGTTAATGTCCCCATGTTCAATTACTTTCTGCATTTCTAGGTATACATTTGAATGATTTCTTTAAAATACATCAAAGTAACAGGTACAGGTATGATTAGAAAATAAAATGCTATTGAAGAGTTTATAATAGGAAGAAGTATTCTGCCTCTTTCTTTCAAATTGCTATTCCACATCCCATGTTCAATGGTCTTTCACCATTTCTGGTAGTTGGTATCTTATGTTTTATTTTTATCTCACCAAGCTGAAATTTCTCTTGGCTTTCTGTATAATAGGTAAAGATTTAACTGACCTCAGTCTTCCTTCTTGGGTAATTTTAATATAGTTATAAGTATACTTTGTGAGGTGATGGTAAAGTCACCCTTTCTCTTCTGTTAGGGCTTTTACAGTGTATCAACTTCAAACTGTACATTAACATTTCCAGAGTTAACATTTCCACTCTATTCTAATAACCATAAAGTTTCTCTTTTATATTTATAGGTTGGTTCTAAAATTGGAAATCAACAGGCAGGGTTTACATAAATAAAAACTTAAAAAATAAGAAAAACAGAGGAAAATATTGTTTGCTGAATGGACCAGTTAACACAGTTTGATTTCCTTTTTTTAAATTTATTTTTCCAATTTTATGATCTCTGTTGTGTTTCCAGGAAGAATTCTAAATGTCAGGGTCAAATGAAAATTGATCAAAACCATTCCACATACTAATTTGCTTTAAAATTGAATCATAGTGTCTTTGAGCAGTTTTACCTTTGAGCAATTTTACCCTTCGGTTTGTCTTTGTTTTTTCTTTCTGGGAGAAGAAACATGCTCTTTTCACCATATCATTACCTTTCTGGGTTACTGTATTGACTCCAAAAGATACTGAGTTTTCTAAATTTTTTGAGTGGGCTTTTTAATTCTGGCTAGTAGTTGGTGTGTTTAGCAGATCATTCTTTTCTGGACCTGAAAGTGTTTTGTACATTGTCTCATAATTTTTCCTAAGTTTTCTTTCTTCTGTCTATATCCTATCTCTCATGTTTTTTGTCTTTTGGCTTGTTATGTTCTGGTAGAATTTTTACTATTTTTTAACCCTCTGATTTTTAAAAGCAATTTCTTATTTCCAAGCGCAATCTTATTTTCCTCTGTTTTTCTTATTTTTTAAGTTTTTATTTATTTTTTAAAAATTTTTTTAACGTTTTTTTTTTTTTTTTTTTTTTTTGAGACAGACACAGAGCATGAACAGGGGAGGTTCAGAGAGAGAGAGAGGGAGGCACAGAATCTGAAACAGGCTCCAGGCTCTGAGCCGTCAGCACAGAGCCTGACGCAGGGCTTGAACTCATGAACCGTGAGATCATGACCTGAGCTGAAGTTGGACGCTTAACGACTGAACCACCCAGGCGCCCCAAGTTTTTATTTATTTAATCTGTACACCCAGAATGGGTTCAAACCCACAACCCTGAGATCAAGAGTTGCAGTGCTCTTCCAACTGAGCCAGCCAGGCACCCCTCTTCTGTTTTTTGAAATGTTGCTTAATAGTGAATTTTCTGCTTCACTTAGGAATTTAACCTGAAAATCTTTGTTTTTTCCTTTTTTTTTTTTTACATTCACCAGTTGTTCTGCTGCTTGGCATCAGAAATCTTAAGCCTTGATCAGTTTGTAAGTTGTATGTTTATTGAATGCTAGCTTTACTCAGATACAGCGATGTCTACCTTTCCCAGCAGGGCCTACAGGTTAAGTGCTCTTCTGTCTCTCTAAATTTTTTTACATGTTTTATTCTTGAGAGAGAACGAATGAATGGATGAATGGGGGAGGGGCAGAGTCACAAAGGGACTCAGAATCCGAAGCAGGCTCCAGGCTCTGAGCTGTCAGAACAGGGCACAATGCAGGGCTGTAACTTAGAAGCCGTGAGATCATGACCTGAGCTGAATTTGGTGCCCAACCGACTGAGCCACCCAGGAGTCCTTGTGTCTCTTTAATTCTACAATCACAGCCTGTTCTCTAGAGAAGGCATAGGTTGGGATGTGAACAATAAAGCTTAGCTTTTCTTTCCTAGAGGCTTGTGCATTTTTAATGAGCCAAAGGCTCTGGCCTAAACCAAAGTAGGAAGCTCAAAATGTGGAATATGAAGCATAATGTGAAAGTTTGGGAATAATGGTGATGCAGTAGCAAATAAAGGTGAAGAGTGGTCCTGATTACAGTTAGGGTAAACTTACCTACTTCATCTGTCCCTCTGTTCTTGAAGTGGAGTAGCTATGGCTTTTCTGATTTACGTTTTTCAGCATTGATAACTTTTCTATATAGAGCAGATGCCTTGGTGGGACGTTTACTCTTCCAACCCTGCCCATAACTTTACACTTACCCATTTTGCATAGTTAACGGCTTTATTTATCCGATTAATTTGGGAGAAGGCAGCTTTTCATTTTGGTTGGTTTGTGTGCTCTTCACAGATTTTTAAATGTGTTGAAGATAGGGTACCTATCTAGTCTTTAAGTTCTGAGAGCCCTTTTTCAGTCGTTCGCCAGCATGCGGCTGCTATCTGTGGTGGGCAGACGTTGCTCTTGCTTGCTATCGGCATGATCCCCTCCTGCCCCCTCCCCACGCCCCGCGCCGCTCCCTGCCCTTTCGCACCCCTTGCCTAACTGCGCGCCTAATACATCTTTTGTAAATATTAGCCCAGCATTGTGCCCCGAGATCCTGAGGAAAGGAGCTCTCAGCATCCAACCAGGAGAGAGCCGAGCCTGGGCACGCAGGCGGCGGTGGCCACTGTGAAGCTGCCGGTGCTGCGAAGCAGTTTCCGCCTGCGTCCGGGCTTCTGGAGGCGGCTCCCAGGTGCGGCCCCAACCTGTGGTTCTTCCGCTTTCCAGGACCTGGCGGAGCTCATTCCGAGGCCCGGAAATGACAGCTAGCGAGGGCGTGGGGGCAAAGGGAGCCTTCGGGTGGAGTAGGAGGCTGGCCTGAAGGGACCCAGGGGGCTGAACCGCAGCGGAAGGGTGCCTGCATGGGCGACGGGTG